GTTGGATCAACTCACCAGCAGTAAGTTTTGTTTTTTAATTACATATTTTATTAAATGATTGAAAGATTATCTTACATCATATTTTATTGTGTTTGTGCAAAAAATACATATCTACATCTATAAATAAATAAATAACAGAAAAGCATATGGCAAAAATCGCATAAAACCTGGCAGGAGGAGTATGGCTGTATACTGCAGTTAGGTTCTTACCTTGTACTTGAACAAGTATAACATTATTTGAAGATGGTCTAAAGTTAAAAATGTATTAAGAACCTGGAAAAATCACTAACAAAATAAAGAACTATAACTAGGAATCAACAGTATAGATAAAGTCATACAGCATTAAAAAGAGAACAAAGGTAGCAAATAGAAACCAAATAGGAAGATGAACGGTTTGAGCCCAGCCATATTGGTAAATTACACTAAACGTAAATGATCTAACAGCACCAGTTAAGAAGAGGAGGTGGCAGATCAGACCAGAAAGCAGCTCAGTGCCACACTGTGCCGGACTCACCAAACACGGAATCAAAGCCACAGTCATAAGGGTACAACGTGGGTTTGGATGAAGAGCTCAAAGGGAACTAGAGAAAGCCCAGTTGCCCGTGGCCAGCCCTATGGTTTCACCAGTGTTGCTCCAATCCCTACACAACCCCCTCTCCGTGGCCTGCCTGGCAGACAACAGAGGTCTGCCTCTCTGCCCAGGCAGAGGCCAGCCTCACCCCCAGGCCTGTCCCTCCATACACAGCTCAGTCTGCCCCTCCCCTCCTTCACACAGGAGAGCTTGGCATGTCCGGCCATCTCCCTCCCACACTTGAGCTTTCTCAGCCAGGTCCCACCCACCTCTGCTTCCTGCCACCTTCACCAATCAGGGCCTGGCATGCCCCCCATTTACTATGGCAGACACAACCTGACCACCTGTCCATGTCAGCATTACACACCTGACCTGTCTTCGTGGGGAGCCTCCTTTTAAGCAGACCCACCTGCAGGCCAGGCTGTACTGAAAGACACTCGCCTTCTGAGGGCCCCTCCCACACTGCCATGTTGCAGCAGCTCTCACATCACGGCTCACGCCAGTCCTGGGAGGGAGGAGGCTGCCCTGGGCTGCAGCTCATGGGCTTTGCTTGGGGGCCCCTGACCCCTGGGTATGACCCCCACTGTAGGCCCAGGCCAGTCGCACAGGTGGTGTGACCACAGATGCCCACCTCCCCTGGCCTGGCCTCTAAACAAGGAGGTGGTCTGGGCAACAGATGCCATCCCACCCAGAAGGATGTCATGAGTACAGACCGGTCCCTGCCCTCATGAGGTGCCCGGTCTCATGCAGGAGACACACACCAAACAATGACACAAATAATCATCAAACTGAGGTCACAAGTGGTGTGTGCTGGCAAGCACAAAGCACAGGGCTGGGTGAGGGGCTTGTTTAGGGATCGCCTCCCAGAAGGGCCGAGGGCAAGATGTCAGTCAACACTTGAGGACAGGGAGGAGCTGTCCAGGCAGAGGAACAGCAGGTGCAAGGAGTGGGCACAGCCTGCTCTGTGGCTGGAGCAGTCGGAGGGAGGTGGGCGTGTGAGGAAGGGGGAGGTAGGTGTGTGAGGATGGGGGGAGGTGAGCATGTGAGGAAGGGGGAGGTGAGCGTGTGAGGAAGGGGGAGGTGAGCGTGTGAGGAAGGGGGAGGGGCAAGTGTGAGGAAGGGACTCCCAGGGACACAAGGAAGGGGGAGTGGGCTCAGATGTCCCCGTGAGTGCAGGACAATTAGTCAGTGAGGACAGACAGGCTCCCACACTGCCAAGAAGGCGGCTGGACATGGGGGTGTGAAGGCCCCTAATCTGCGTTCCGAGCCTTGGTTGCCTCATCCTATAGCAGATGACTGGCCCGTCCTCCCACAGGGCTGTCAGGGAGGTCAGGGCAGAGGGCTGGGCCAGCAGATGTTGGGGTCCCAGCTCTAACCCCTCCTCTGCACGGTTACTGTGGCGGCCCACAGCCTGGCAGCACTGCAGTTGGAGCCTCCTACCCGTGCATGGGTGGCAACTCAACGCGGCGGGCCCCATTCAGAGCCCGGAGCCCAGGCCCAGCCTGCGTGCTGATAAGGAGAAAGCAGCACTGCCCCGCCCCCCAGAGTCACTTCTCATTTCTACCTGGGATGTGGGACACTCAGCCATTTGCTCAAGCATCCAGCACCCCTGGTCTTGGCCAAGCACTGGGCTCAGGGTTGGGCAGAGCAGTGACCAGACAGGGAGACATCCAGCCTGTGCAGGGTCTTTGCTCAGCCCAGTGAAGGTGCCTGGGCTCAGAGATGGCTGATGTCATGCCCTGACTGGCCATGAGTTGGACAAGAGTCCGAGCCAAGGGCATTCAGAGAAGGTCCTCTCAGCCTGGGTGGGCATGGAGGTACCTGCTATGAATTGGGTAGGCCCCCGGGTGCCAGAAACAGCTTGTGCTCAGCTTGTAACCAAGAGGTTTATGGGCCGAACCCACACAGTGACATCATAGGAGGGCCCAACGATCTGCCTGCATAAAGATGACGCCAATCAAGCCCTGCGCGGCAGCTCTACCCGGCAGCACATGGCGTTGCCCTGGGCTGGAGCTGGCCGGATGGCAGTGGGTGTCACCCACCCAGCCCCTACCTTCTGTGGACATCACCTTGTTCGGAAATAGGGTCCTTAAGATGCTCTCAGTTAACCTAAATGCCTACTGGAGTAGGGTGGGTTCTAATCTCACCTGTGTGGTGTCTCATCAAGCCAAGAGGTGCCTGAGGCCACCAACAGCTGACAAAGACAAGAAAGGCTCTTCCCCTGGAGCCTCTGGGGACAAGACGGACCTGCCAACACCCTGAGTTCCTGCTCCCAGGCTCCAGAACTTCATCGTCTAAAGTCACCCACAGCCCCAGAACACTCACATGGCACCACGTCAGGCCCACTGCCTCCACCTCTCTCCGTGTCGCCACTGAGCTCACTCTTCTCCCTCACTGCACTGCCTCCCCGCTATCTCGCCCCGGCCACAGAGCCCTCTAGGGGCTAGCGCCTCCATGAGTTCATTTTCTTTTCTCCTGAGCACACAGAGGTGAGATGGGCTGGACTGTGTGCACACAGACAAGGGCTTTTCAAATAATATCTTTGTTTCAGGAAGAAACGCTTATGGAGATAGATGTTTCCTTAGCAGCCAGAATGTACATTTCTGACGAAACCGTGTGTTTTGCTAGCAGATCTTTCTGCTTTAGGCCCGTTTCTCCCAGTTGTTTGGCAAAGGTTTTTGGTGAGGCTGTTAAGAGGGTAACCTGTTTTAATAATATTTTCACCAATGACTTTGAGTGGGAAAGTTCAGCCTGGCCCAAATGCCCAGGAACCTGTTGACAGTGTTCTGTTAGGACGGTGCCAATGTGAGTTTTCCCAAGCAGAGCTCTGCCCACCTCCCCTCTTGCAGAGGTCAGGCCGGCCCCTCTGCTGAGTCCTGGTCCAGAGGACATGTAGCAGGGCGGCATCTACAGAGAGGATAACTGCTCCCTGCTCCTCCCACCACCCCATCACCAACTGCTGCCACTGAACAGACAGCAGTCAAGGCAGCTGCCAGGCTATGGTGTCAGCTGGGGGGGGGGGTCAATGATGCTGCTGGTGGCTGTGGCAGGGAAGGGACACTCAGGAAGGTGGAGCCTCGAACAGTGATGGGGGGAGGACGAAGGATGATGGCTGGCGATGGAGGTGGTGTTGAAGATGATGGGGGTGACGCTGACGACACGGTGGTGGTGGTGGTGCCAATGGCAGACTGATGGTGGAGGTGATAGTGCTGATGGATGGCAGGGGAGATGGTGAGGGTGTTGGCCACAGAAATAGCAGTGGTAATGGTGGAGCTGATAGGGAAGGTGGTGCTGGTTGAGAAATTGATGGAGTGGTCATGGTTGGATTGGCGGTGGAGGTGGTGGTCATGGTGGAGGTGGTGGTGGTGGTGGCAGAATTGATGGTGGAGGTCGTGGTGTCAATGGTGAGGCTGATGGTGCTCATGGTGGGGTTGGTGGTACCGATGATGAGAGTGATGGGTGGTGGTAGACTTGGTGAGTGATGGTGGTGGTGGAACCGATGGTGAGGTTGGTGGTCATGGTGTGGTCATGGTGAGGGTGATGGCAGGGGGTGGTGGGGAGGGGGTGCTGCTGGGGTTGAAGGGGGCAGAAGTGATGGAGTTGGAGGCAAGCGCACCAGGCTGCCCAGCAGTACTCTGGCCGTGACTCGGGGGGCCCCAGGCAGCCTGTGCAGAGTTTCACTCCCTCCGAGGGCCAGACTGCCCAGGATGCTCCACTGGGAGCGGACACAGAGCCACACACAGGCTCAGCCTTCAGCCCCTGCCGCTGCTTGGCTCCCGAGCCCCTCGCCCTGGCAATCCCTCTGGGCGTTGAATCTGGAGGGTCTGAGTGGGAGGAGGGCAGCCCCAGACTCAGAAAGGGGATGAGAGAAGGGCTCAGTGAAGACCAGCATGTCCAGCTGAGGTTGGCAGAGGAGCTGGACCTGCCTTGGGAACCTGGGCAGGGGGTCACCACCGCCTGGGCTCAAGTGTCCGCAGGAGTGGGGGGCCTTGGGCTACTCACTGCTCAGGGCCCCAGGGAAAAAGTCTGAGACCTGCGCAGACTGGGCGAGGGCCGGAAAGGGCCGAGGCGCCCCGCACGGGAGACTCAGGTTCTTGGACGTGTGTGTCTGCAGCCACGCTCTCTGCGAAAGCATTGAGACAAGGTCAGGCTCCCCCTGCGCTGGGACCAGCCTCTGGCAGATGTGCCAGGTAGACGCTGCCCAAGCCCCGGGCCCGTAGGGCAGCGCAGGGGCGCGCGCTTGTCTCGCCTGGGTGCCCGGCCGCCGCGCGCCCCCCTCCGGCTCGCCTCTCCCGCGGGCCGCTGTCCGCCTTGGCTCGGGAGGGAGGAAGGGCTGTCCTCACTCCACCTCTGGCCGCGCGGTGCCAAGTTGCTGGCGGCGGCGGCGGGAGCGCGCGGGTGGCTCCCACTCCGCGGGGTCTGTACTCACGTAGAGGCCGGAGTGCTCAGCGCCGAAGAAGGGGAAGGGAACGGAGAGCGGTCGCAGCCCCGAGCCGCCGTCGTCCTGCTTCGGGGTGACGGCGTCGCCGCGCTCCGCGCCGAACGGGTAG